CCCCAAAACCCCAAAACCCCAAAACCCCAAAACCCCTAAATGATGATACTGAATTGAAATTTGATTAATTATTTCTTCTCTCCTCTCATATTCTTAGCTTTTAGCATCTCTTCCATGTATGTCTTCATGTTGTAAACCTGACGGAAATGAGCTCTGTCTGGCATCTCAGGTTTCTCATTGCACTTCTTCATCTCAGTCAGCTGATTAGTGGTCGAGAAGGGATCCTTCTCCATCTTCACACCATAACTTGGAAAAATGGTCATTAACGAAGGCTTATTCTTGAAGACCTTGTTGATAATCTTTGACTCTGAAGGTAGATGAGGACTGGACGCAGTATTTCTCTTCTCAAGTTTCCTTCCAATCTCGTTATTTTCAGTCACGTATCTATCTATAAGCCCAGCTTGGGAGTCAGAGTCGTGGTATATCAAATTCCTTTCATCTAAAGGAGATTGAGGCTCTAGGACATCTCTTTCAGAAGGTTCAGGGGCTATTTCAGCTGGTTTTGCTGACTCGAGAGCTCCTAGAATATCCTGAGTTGGTATATCAGTCCTTGGCTTTTTAATCTTATTATAGAATGGTTTATGTGTGATTGGATTGTTCCTCAGCTTGTTCGAGTTCTGCACAAATTGCTTTCTTATCGCTTCAAGATTTGAGTTATCAAAGCCTGGAGAGTTGAACTGCTTCCTTTCGGTGAGAGGAATCTTGGAACTCATCCCAAGTCCATGACTATGGATATACCCTGAGGTAAGGAAATCAATCTGTGCTTGTAAAGGGTTAATAGTCTTTTTAGTCTGTTTGGCATAAACCCCACCAGCTTTCCTCTCCTCAAGAGTGGGTACTCGTCTTCTACGGTTGCTGTCCTTTGGCCTAAGCAAGGCATATGTTGTCTTGGACTTCGCCATTTTCCTCGTAGTACTATAGTTTTTCCTGTGAACATCCATGATTAGCCTATTTATTTTATTTTTATCAAAAATAGCAATGCTTTATAATATTTTTGAGTTTTCAATTGGCTAACAGTGAGATGGGGTTTTGGGGTTTTGGGGTTTTGGGGTTTTGGGG